GGTCAAATCATGATGTCAGTGATCTTCAGGTCGGAAAGTTGGAGCTCTAGAAAGAGGCCAGAGTTCCCGAGTTGGATGACCGTTCAAAATGATTTTTCCCAGTCGGAGCTCATTCCCATTTGTCTTGAACGCACTGAAGTCGGAGATTTCCGAGTTCCCAGTTGTTTTGAACATGGCATCAGATTGTAGATTTGGTACCTCAGGGTTGCCAGCTCAGGGCCCCCCTTTCCAGTTTTTTTAATTTATTTAACTTATCCTGTGTTTGCCCCCCATTTATTGATAAATCCCCCCTCATAGTAATATTTCTTGCATCATATCCCCCCACGATACCTTACCCCATTTCTATTCCCCATGGCTTTGAAAACCCCCCACAAATGAAATGAACCCCCCCCACAAACCCCCATAAAATGGTTTCATCCAAACTTGGCAACCCTGTTTAGCTTTCGCGCTACGGTTAAGCTATGCAGTAGGCTTTTATTTGGGGTGATTATCTGTGAGGTGATAACATTTTATTTGCTTTGTGATTTTGTCAAAAACGGTAAACGACTTGTCAAGTCATGTGCTCCGGTTCTTGTATACACTGTAACAAGTACATCGAAGATTTGTAATATGCCAAATTAATATTTTTCAGGCAATGGGTGCAGCTATCTTTGATTTTTTTGTTTATTTGCATCTTATAGTGAATGGCATTCTGGGATTAGGGAGTTTTTGCTTGTCAAACATAAACAAACATGGCTGCCGTCATAAAGAATTTAACTGCTGTTAATTTAGATGACATGCATCTCTTTTCTAAACAATATTGCATTTCTCCCTTGTGCTCACCAGAGATGTGGAACATTGTAAACAAGTCTAGCTGTTAGGTCCCTAACTTATGTTTTGTTTGTCAGCGCAACCTGTAATTTAGACTGGTTTATGGAATGTGTTTGGCTGTGGATCTGTTCCGTGTGACGCTTGGATGAGGAAGTTCGCATTTATCTTTTACAATAAAAGGTGAAATTTAGGAATAAAGTTGTGGAGACCTTTATTTCCCATCAGTACAAAACATTGTTTAGATGCTTTTCAGACGCGTTTGTTGCATCATACAATCTGTTGCTACTGTTCCAATCACATATTTGCGATGGTACGCTGCAGGGACCACTCAACAATCACAAATATGCGATCGTACGCATCAAAGGGTTAATAGGATAGCACAAGGTGGTTAATCTGGAAACCTAAACATCTCTGAGCTGCCGACGATTGAACCGAGCCGGTGGTAGACTCCATCGGAGCTGGAGCCAGCATAGAGGAGGAAGGGGCCGGAGCCTCTGAAGTCAGATGGGCAAACTATTAGTCAGACGAATTGGGCTTCCCATAGCAGGGTAAACATTACAGAGATGTGTATCAGGGTCATGAAGTTCTTATTACTGCAGTCTCATGACCAAGGCTGATCAGGGTTACTTCCTGAAACGTTAGCAGGGCCTCCAGTGTGGACATTTTAGGATTAGATGGTAAAAACCTCATGGGATTTTATAAGAATGTCATCTCTCATAAAAAAATACTTTTCATACAGCTGCTAGTGAGGTTCTGAAGCACTTTATGTACAGTATTTGTATTTTGTTTGTATGCAAACACTAGAACCATAAATGTACATAGACAATGAAAACCAGGCACTTTCAAAGTTATTTTATTTGTATTTACATTGCCTTGCATGTTCTTATTATACACAGGACAACCTTATTGGGCCTTCAACAGTGTTCCAGTCCCATACAAAAAAATCCTTACATGTTTTATTGTCTAGGCTTTTTTTTTCTCCCTACATAAGATAGTCACAATAGCTGAGTATTCAAGAAATAACATGATCAAGTTGAGCCAGATATGTCCCTACAAAGCTGTGCCTTCATAGCTCTACCTTGCATTCGACAGTTGAAATGTTACTAGAAAATAACTCTACATGACAGCCAACAGAGACTGGTCAAAATGCACTTCAACAAAAGGTTTGTTAGTTTATAAAATGGTATATAGTTCTTGGCCTTTAACACAAATCCAAAGGAAATGCAAAAAGCAGACCCAGCCCCAGCAAATAAGTAAAATAAAAAAAACTCTTACATATTCATACATTTTGTTAGCAACAAAGTACTGTTGAAATCACTGATATAAATACATGCACCGTAAACACCTACCATGACAAACAAACTAAAATCATACCAACCCAAGGGTGAAAGACAAACAAAACTAAAGATGATCTAATGATCAGTTCACAATGAAAAATCAGCCACAAAGGGATTTTGGTTGGGGTATGTTGATTTCCAAATGTCTGTGTCAACTTCACAAAATGCCATTCCAAAGGATCTAATACATAATTTTACAATGCATCCATTTCCTCTTAACTCCCATTAGGTAGTAACATGTACCGTTTCAGGCGAACATACACCAAACATACTGCAAATCTATATACATGCTTCACCATAGGAGGTGGATCTGGGCACCATTCAAAGTACCATGTGATACAGATTTGATTGTCTAAGCAGTAAAAGCCAGTCACAGCGACTCATAAATGCTAAAATAATATTTAACAGGTGACAGTATTGGGATTCTGTTTTCAACAAGGGGAAGGATGCTACGACTGGGTGAACAAAGCTGCGAATCGTCTTTAAAGGAGAGAATTTCCTCTGTAACATGTCACCGGCAAGACAATCAAAACAAGAAAATAAAAACTTTGTGAAAAGGAAAAAATACATTATTCACATACAGTAAGCTTTTCAGCGTTACTGATAGTTACAAATAAAATATTTCGGCACCGATTAATGGTTAAAAAAAAAGGTATGAGTAATAAAATAAGAAACACTTAAACTAAAGTGTAACAACCATGTTTGATAATGCATTTAACACATCTTAAGTATTTCCCTTAGAGATGATATATTCATATACAATATAGATGGTTAAAAAGGCACAATATAAATATGTACAAGACACTCAAGAATGACGCAAACAAATACACAAAGAACACATTCTTAACGGTCAAGCTGCAGGTGTGTAAAAATGCCTAATCTTCTTCAGGCTCAGTATTGTTTAGTCGTAATCTCACACGGACCAGGGATTAATTATATCAACCCTCTAACCACCTCTCTTGACCAGCTAGCTACATGCGGCAACAAAATGTCCCTTGAACTATAGACCAGTTAATAAACAGGCATAACATTACCACTGACCAGAAATGTATTGCACAGTCATCCCTGGTTTTTCCTAATATGTATAATGACGAGGGTAGACCGACTGACTACACTGCAAACAGACTGCGGCGGTATATTTTTTGGGCATCGGTCCTGCACAAATCAATAGCAAATTTAGAGGGGATTCCCCAGCTAGTTCACTGATGAATTACCAACTTGGGAAATATCTTTGTATGCCGCTGTTTCTCTATTCAAATATGACTATAGTAAAATGTGAAGTATTTGGAAACTGCGACATCACTCTTGGGAAATAAATCAACACACAAATATTTTTGGTAAATTAACCACCACATTGAAATAATGGTATCTGGGGTTTTGAGGTTGGGTGTGACCCACACCATGCAAATCAACTACAGATTGATTCTACAATGGAGACCTACACCCATTTTCATTTATCCATGACACAAGCAGTTGATCTTTGTGATGGAAAATATCTGTCATGTTGTGAGGTAATCAGGACCTCCTGTGACTTGGTCTAACAGCATTTCCAGTATTGAACAATAACAGATAACAATTGCACTGTATCTTATACAACATGTGATTGGATTGTGCGATTTGCCATCCCTTTCAGTGAACTGCTTTTAAATGCTCTTTGTCAAGTTTAAGTCTCTTTGCAGGAATTCAAGGACACTTAGGGCTGTGCTCTGAGGAACAGTTAGCCCAGCTTCTTCTAAAGGTTATGTATACATGTACAAACATTGAACTTCAGCACAATACTGAAGAAATTACACATTGTTTCAAAGGCCCATTCTTGGTCTTTTAAAGTTAATTTACAGAAAGGCCTGGTTTGGCTTATCTTAGGTAATAATATACAGCAACCTGGGGTCCATAGATATCATGCAGTGAAATACAGGTTAGGTTCTTCATTGAGTCATTGTCTGACCACACATCAGTTTATGTAAAAAGACCACCGAAGACTGTTAGGCTGTTGAAGTCTGACACAGTGGAGAGGTCGGGACAGCTGAGAGAAGGGTGGTTTTATAATGAGTCCACCATTCTATCTCCATGGAGGACATTGTCAGTACTAGAGTATAACTAGTAGAAAGGTTATATCCAGAAGACAATTGAAGGTCATTCCTAAGTAGCTATCTCATCATATACTTAGAAAAAATACAACAATGACCGACCCCTATCAATGCTGCCTCAGTAACATTGACTTCTGTTTAAGCTTTGGAATGAGTGCAAAACAACCTTAAAAAAAAAAGATATAGCATTGATACATGTATAGCTACCCTCCAGAAAGAGAAACTGAGGGCTCTAAAACAACCCAAAGCGTCCGTCCGTGATGCCTGACAGTGCTGCAGACCTTTGCTTTGGTCAATCCACGAATGAGAGCGTGTACGTCCCAAATGGCACCCTTTTCCGTATAGTCACTATTTTTTCCCACGACTTGGTCAAAAGTAGTGCACTACATAGGGAATAAGGTGCCATTTGGGATGAAGCCAGAGGAACAACAGCCTGTGGGTTGTGGAGCCAGAGAGCGAGAGGTTTGCCTTCTTCCGTTTAGTCGTGTCCTGTCTGTCTGACTGTTGTGCCCCAGTGCTAGGATAGCTGCCATAGGGAGAGTGATGCTGGGCAGTAGCCCTGCATCAGAGAGTATGTCTGTCCAGTCTACTTCCCAACCACTACCATCCCAAAGTCCACCTCAGTTCAGTCCATGGCCATCACACTGGGGCAAGATTAACTCACTAGGGCCAGCAGTTGTGTAAGGGTGTGTGTGTGTGTGTAGGTGTGTGTGCGTGTTTCAGAGGGCTGGGGTGGAGCTGAGTACCTAATAATAATAATAATAATAATAATAATAATAATAATAAGTCACTCCACAAGCGAACAGAGGGGTGACTGACTGTTTCCCTCTGTCAGACCTCTATCCCTTCCACTCTACAAGAAGTCTAGCTCCAGGGCTTGGTGGAGGGATACTAGGTCCCCGTGGGTGGAGATACGCCAGAAAGGCATGTTGTGCTGCAAAGACAGAGCAGAGAAACCAACAGTCAAATCAATACACCAAGACTTATTTACTGCAGTGTTGAGTGTAAAATGGTGAATACCAGAAGTACTTGCCATACTGTATGCAACACAGAATAATTACTGCCGGCTGTTTGTTCAGTCTTAATACCTTGTAATATGCAGCCAATACCCAAATGCACATAGGTCTACCTGTTTTGCTGCAAATTCCTCATCACGACCGTCTCCTACCACCACATAGGTCACCTTCTTCCCAAAGCGAGAGACGATGCGCTCAAAGCAGCTCTCTTTCCCTACAGAAAGACCACAGGAAAAGCAAATAGTCACATAAGGACACACACACATTAGTAGATTGACTTTCAGCTGAGATACTCAAACTCTGGATTTAATCTATTTCATCCACCTTGGATCAAATACAAATCCTTTAAACCCCACAGCTACGGGGACTGCTGTAAGTCGCTCTGGAAAAGAGTGTCTGCTAAATGACTCAAATGTAAAAAAATGTGTTAGTGGTTTAGTTTACCTATCTTGGTGGCGCTGTAAATGTTCTCTATGGGGAAGACGTCCCCCAGGCCGTAGAGCAGCACCTTGGCCAGAGCAGGCACTAGCTGGGTGGTCGTCACCAGGACATTCATACACTTACCCCTGTGGACAAGGATGCACACACACTGTGAGAGCAAGGCCACAATAAACTACACTACTATACACTGTCCAAATTTCTGTTAAAAAACATCAAGTTAAAAACTGTAAAATTTGAATACAGATTGTCTAAAACGTCAATCTCACTGTGCTGACCTGGACTGGATGAGCAGCAAGGATTTGAGTGCCGTGCTGAGCCAGGCATCTGTCACATTTTCCATCTCAGACTGCAGTCGAAGGAGCAGCTCCCTCTTCATGGGACTCAGCAGGCCTAGAGGAGAGCGTTATTACCAGGATAGGCGCAAGAACACACAATTATAGCATCACCAATTTCTTGCAATGATACTGTATACTCACTAACTGTAAGTCGCTCTGGATAAGAGCATCTGCTAAATGACTAAAATGTAAATGTATACAAAAACAATGATATCAGAGCTGGGCGTTTAGAGGTGTTATTACCACAGCAACCAGGAGATGGCGCAGGAACACAATTACAACCTCCCCATCATCTCCCTGTTCTTTTATAATGTATTGGTATCTGGCTTTAGATCTGGCTGTTATATCAATGTCTGGTTAGATTCTAGATTCCAGTATGCCACACACAAAAAAATAAAATGACTGTGCACAAACAGGAATATTCCTCACAGGCGATACTATGACAGGGCAAGAATACACAAAAGCATACCGTTTTTATTTGAACAATGCATCAACTAACATCTCAAAGTAATATTGGGGGAACTATTCAGATGTCATCAGTGTTTGGATGCCGTGCCCTAAGGGTTTCCCAGTAAGTCACAGTCCGGTGATTAGTTCGAATTTGAACACAAATACAGTTGACACGCAGTCACACTTCTCACCTCCCACGTTCCCTTTGTATCCGTTATAGATGTCCTTTAGACGGCGGTAGCGGAAGGCCAGTTTCCTCATCCACTCCACTCCACCCTGGACTCCAGTGGTGGCCCCTGGGGCCCCTCCACCACTGGGGCCGTTGAAGCCGTCCGCCAGGAAGTTATAGGTGCTGAGAGGAGGCGGATGAGAGGTTTGTATGTGGCTAGCGTGGAAAGTAGGGTCACTGAGTCTCTACCGTTTCCTGATATAAGCATCACAAATCATCATTATTTAGCTAAATAGTATGGCCTCTTGCGTTTACTGGTTGTATCCAGCAGCATCATAACTGAAGACATATCAATACCTCAGATCCTGTCCGTTGTCATCAGAAACCATGTCTTCAACATGGACCTGGTCACACTCCTCCAGGTCATTGAAGAACAGGTGTGTGTCTGCCAGCTCAAAGATCAGCTCCTCCATCTGAAGACCCAGGTTCAGTACTGTGGCAGGGTCCTACACAGCCCCAACAGGACATAGGTTATATTCATATCAATAGAAATCTTACCACATATCAACAGAGAAATTCTCTATTACACAGATGTGTAAAATAATAAATGATAGCTCAAAACATGATTGTTGTGATTTCCCCAATGTTTTTTATCATTCCCAAAGACACACCTTGCCAAACTTCTGAGCGAAGGACCCGGTGAGTAGAGAGTGGAAAATGATGATGGTTTCATCCAGATCCCATAGAAAGATTCTCTGAAAGAGACGGGAGAGGAATGGGTCAGTAACTAAGGAGTGGGATTAATCAGAAATTATGAATCTTGTAAAATTACATGAACATGTAAAAATGAAATAACATTTTCCAGAGCAGATACATAAATAAGACAAATAACCAGTCACCTGAGTAGCTGGTTAATTTGTACGTCTGTATATGAATGACTGCATCTTTTAAAACAGTCTTAGGTGGGGGTTTTGAAGTGTTTTTTATTTTATTTTAATTTATGCTTTGGCCACAAATACAAGTATAGGATGAGTCAACTACATTATTTGGGTACGAGTTAACAGACTATGAACTTTTAAGTGAGATTTTTACTAAAAAGTTACTTTAAAAGAACCCCTCATCTGAGTCGCTGGTAAATGTGTATGTGACTGTGAGTGAGTAAGTGGTTGTGCATCTCTGTTCATATGGGTCCTATAGTTACCTCAAGGTCGTTGTCAGTGGGCTGGTTGCTGTCTGATTTCTTGGCCTTCCCCTTGGCCTTCCCAGCAGGGTTCCTCCTCCCTGCCTCATCCTGGTCCCGGGCCCCCGTGGGGAGAGCCACCCCTGTCGGGAGGGCCACTCCGGTCGGGAGGTTTTCACGTGGAGACGGGTCTGAGGGAGAGGGCAGACAGGTTGAGGATAGATAGTTGACAATTCAGTTGAGCACTGACACAATCCTCCATGTTTCTGAATGTTGAACACCTCAGCCTAAATGGCCTAACAAGCCCGTAATCAAAGCAATGTTGATAACACAATAACTACTGGATCCCAGTGTTATCCATCCAGCTATATTATAAACATGGAACTGACATTCATACGGTAAGGCAGAGTGAAACCGATAATGGGAGTGATCAGAAGTACCTATAGATACCTGCATGGTCCTAAAGGTAAGACTAAGGTTGCAAAGGGAGGGTATATTACTGGAAACTTTCTAGGTTTACCAGCTAAACTACCAGAATGTTGGCATCTTTTAAGGATTTTATGTAATCTATCACAAGACATCTAATGGCCCTTTTGGGTACTTCAGCTTTTTACAGGTGTCTAATGATCTCTGGCCATCTATGTGGCCTTATCGCATGTAAAATATATTAAATAAGATGATTTTAACATAAAAATAGAATAACAAAGCTGTAAAACATTATCCTAAATATAAACCATGCATGAAATATCCTTCATATTTTTTTCCCACCCATTTATTTTACTATTTCAATATGTATTTGTCATCAATGTTTTGGCGTCAAACTGGTGGCAGTTGTGAAAAACGTCAATAGTTGGAAGAGTTGCAGAGTTAATTGAAAATAATGTAATTGTTGATTAGATGCTTTTTTCATTAATTAGGCTCTTTTCTCTTGAATCATATTGGTCTATCTACTAGAAACTCATGGACAATATGACACCGATATAAAAAATGTATACTATATACGAATACATTTGTTAAAAGTTATTCCAGTATAAATTACCAAAGTTACCATTGATTTTGTTAATTACCCAAATTATGTTAACTTTTGTAACCTACCAACCCTAGGCAAGACTGTACTAGCTATTGTTATGAGGTAAGGCTGAAGTACCTGTAGTGCTGGGCAGTCCAGCGGAGGCACTTCCCTCGGTCTTGATGGCTGGATAGCCAGCCACACCCACACTGGATCCATTCCCTTCGCTATTGGGCTGGCCGGCGAGCACGTAGCTAGGAGGCGGGGCGTAGTACTGAGGGAACTGGGCCTGGCCCAGAGAGTTATAGCTGCTGAACTCCTGCAGCACAAGACACGCATACAGAGAAGGGATATGAAACAATCCAAGGATGGATTTACAGGTTGTGTCCCACAGGGCTCTGGTCAAAAGTGCACTATGTATGGACTAGGGTGCCATTTGTGAGGCAACCATACTCCATTAGACATACTCCGTGAATGCATTGTGACGACCATGCAACACAATGAAGGCTCTGTATAGAGATGTAACTTGACGTATGCTCCAGTGACATTTTGCTACAGAGACTAGGGCAGTCATGAGTCATGACGTGGGGCGGCAGGTAGCTTAGTGGTTAAGAACGTTGTGCCAGTAACCGAAAGGTCGCTGGTTCTAATCCCCGAGCAGACTAGGTGAAAAATCTGTCGATGTGCCCTTGAGCAAGGCACTTAACCCTAATTGCTCATGTAAGTCGCTCTGGATAAGAGCGTCTGCTAAATGACAAAAAATAAATAAAATTACCACAGTAAAATTCTAAATGGAAGTTGAGTCACGGTAATCTCCTTTTATGCACTCTGGACATGCCTTAGTAGTAGCCTATCCAACTCACTAACGATCATCAGGTCACTAATGGCCTGGTACTCAGGGCTCGATTGTCCCTCTAACATCAATGCAAATGCAATCGAAAATCACATCAAACACTTATCATCAAAACAGTATGTGCTTTAAAAAATTCACCTCATTCTGATTGATCAATTTGATGAAAGAAGTTCAACAATAGGTTGAAACTGAGTGGAAAACATGGCCATTGTGGATGTTGTTTCAAAGCCTAACACAACGAAATGGACAGCGACTTTCTAAGGTGATGAAGCATTAGCATAGGCTTATATATGAGCCCAATACCCCCCCAAAAACTGAATTAAAATAATGATTGGGCCGTTATACAATACATAGCCAACCGCATACACACGACAGAAAAACATTACTGCTTTAAAATATATTTGGTAACGTTACATAACTGGTCTAGCCTAAATTAAACAAATTCAGATTTAGCCTACAATTATAGTGAATTTGTTTAAGATTTTGAATAGCATAGTAATAGGACTTTTATTTTATTTTCATAATTAATAGACTGACAGATTACCTTTAGCTACAGAATCTCTCACCACCGTGAGTTTCCATCTCCCCTCTCTCTCCTCTATTCCTTTCTTCACTGTCAACAGTGAAAATGAAAAATGTTTTGTTGTGAAAACATGTGACTATCGATGTTCCCGAACAGATTTCACTTGGTTTCTCAAATTAAGCACTGGGTAGCTGCTAGAGCAGGGTTGGAGTGCCCATGGCATACAGCGTTTGGGGGGAATATCACCTATGGCGCAGCGAAATTACCGGAGTAGCCGGCCTGGACATGTACTGGCTTAAGCAGGGGGACACGTCTGGCACTGCAGGATTTGAGTCCCTGGCGGTGTAGTGTGTTACTGATGGTAGGCTTTGTTACTTTGGTCCCAGCGCTCTGCAGGTCATTCACTAGGTCCCCCCTGTGTGGTTCTGGGATTTTTGCTCACCGTTCTTGTGATCATTTGACCCCACGGGTTGAGATCTTGCGTGGAGCCCCAGATCGAGGGAGATTATCAGTGGTCTTGTATGTCTTCCATTTCCTAATAATTGCTCCCACAGTTGATTTCTTCAAACCAAGCTGCTTACCTATTGCAGATTCAGTCTTCCCAGCCTGGTGCAGGTCTACAATTTTGTTTCTGGTGTCCTTTGACAGCTCTTTGGTCTTGGCCATAGTGGAGTTTGGAGTGTGACTGTTTGAGGTTGTGGACAGGTGTCTTTTATACTGATAACAAGTTCAAACAGGTGCCATTAATACAGGTAAAGAGTGGAGGACAGATGAGCCTCTTAAAGAAGAAGTTACAGGTCTGTGAGAGCTGTAACTTCATTAAAATTCATTAAAAATCCTACAATGTGATTTTCTGGATTTTTTTTCTCTCAATTTGTCTGTCACGTATACCTATGATGAAAATTACAGGCCTCTCATCTTTTTAAGTGGGAGAACCTGCACAATTGGTGGCTGACTAAATACTTTTTTCCCCCACTGTAAATGAACAAGCCTACAGCTTATGGCATAGTCAGATAACATACAGTAGGCCAACTCTGTTCTTCTGAAAAAAAACATGATATGAATAATTTTTCTTTAGACCTGCCTAAAATAAATAAATAATGTATTGTGATGGTGTATATTAAATTGATTTATTATAATTTTTTTTATGTAGATGTTCCAAAAGGCACATATCAGTGGCTTGTATGAGTGAAGCCTGGAGATGCTAAACATGTTAATGAATGGTCAATTACCATGAGACCAGCAGGCTTTTGCATGACAATAACCAGCTGACAAAATTTCATCACCGCCACAGCCCTAACAGAGATCGTTTGGAGTTTTTTTGGCTTTTTGATGCCCTAATTTCCCTGTTCAAAGCTGGCCAGTCCTTACCTGGTGAGTCACTGTAGGTGTAGCCGTGGTAGCTGAGGGGATGTTAGTGTACACACTGGATGTAGTGAAACTGGAGCCTGGTGGAGAGAAAACAGACACCTCAAAACATTGGAAAAACACAGACAAGAATTAATACCTCATCTCAATCCATTTCAATGAATAGATCATTCACTCCAGTGAGCGCAGTAACCATAGTAGTGAAAAGTGCAAGAACACATCTGCATAAATCATAGCCCCCTGATTTTCTTGTCCAGTAAGCTTGTGCCTGACTCACACTATGGGACCGTTCAGAACCGTAATGTGCTGGCTTGGATATTTTCCCTCCACATTGCCTTGCGTAACCAGGCCAGCCCAGCACAGCTTGGCTCAGTTTGTCCCTGTAGTGTGAATCAAGCATTGGTTAGAAAGAGTATTACCGTAATTTTCGGACTATAAGCCGCGCCTTTTTTCCCATTTTTCGACCCTGCGGCTTATATAACGGTGCGGCTAATCTATGGATTTTTACAGCTAACGGCCACTAGAAAACCTCCTAAATCTATGGATTTTACAGGTTACAGTCCACCAACTTTAACTCTATGGGCTCTATGACCGGTCCACGCCCCCCACCTTTAAGCGGCGGGCTCCAGAAGGAAAAGCTGGAGGCCGGAAAAGAGTGAGACCGGTAGCGCGCAAAAGTAAAAGTGGAACCGAGAGTGGTACGAGAGACAGAACGAGAGCAAGACAGACAGACATTACGAGAGCGAGACAGTTTGTCTCTTTCCCGACAATCCCCTCTGTGCACGAACCCTTACATATGGTAATTAAACATTAAAACACCTGCGGCTTATAGTCCAGTGCGGCTTATATATGTACACATCATTCAATATCATTCAATTTAGCTGCTGCGGCTTATACTCCGGTGCGCCTTATAGTGCGGAAAATACGGTATATGAGGTGCACCCTTAGCGGCATTGACAGAAAGCAGATGTTTCTTAGTTTTCAGGGATACAGTATTTTCAACCTAACTTCCATTTGCCCTGAAAAACAGAAGAAGGGAATCCTCTCAGGCGTCTTTCTACACCTGCTACGTTAGGTTATATGATGTGAGTTAGGGTAGTGAGATTGATAGATGGCGATGGCTTGCCTTGGCTGGGGTATGAATAGTGCACCTGGCCTGGCTGGGTTGAGGTATATGCAGAGCTGAAGCTGAGAAACCCAGGCTGGCCAACAGAAGGCACTGCATCAGGCAGCCCTGTCTCTGTCTTAACGCCTGGCCACATAGCACCTGAGGGATGGACAGAGAGAGAGAGAGAGAATGAGAGAGAGAGAATGAGAGAGAGAGAGAGAGAGAGAGAGAGAGCAAAATATAGGAGAGGGAGGTGTAAAAGGAAAGAAAAAGATGTAGAGAAGGGAAAAAGGAGTTAGAAAGAAAGACCTTTCAGTCAAAGGAGTGAAAGTGAAATTTTAGGGCATTTGAATCAGTGCAAAAGCTTGACGTAGCGTAACAATGAACGAACAAAAGCGTAGTGTTGGATTATTGTGCAGGTGATGTTAGGAGAAGACCAGGGACGTATATGGTGTTTGTGTGTGTGTGAGAGATCAAGGACTGACCGAATGGTGGGAGGCCGTAGGTCTGTCCTGCCTGGGGGAAGGCGGTGTACACAGTGGACTGGGTCAGAGGAGGGAAGGCCACCTGGCTGCTGTACGACGTGACGGCTGGGCTGTGGGACAGACGGGGACTGTGAGACCTACTGGAGGAAAACTATCTTCCCAATAGCATGCAGTGGAGAACTGGGCCCGCATTTATCAATTGTCTCAGAGTAGGAGTGCTGATCTAGGATCAGGTCCGCCATGTCCATGTAATCTGATGCATTATGATTTAAAAAGGCCAAACTGATCCTAGAGCAGAACTCCTACTCTGAGACGCATTATGATTATGGGCCCTGGGCCCACATTTATCAAGTGACTGAGTTACATAGTGCTGATCTAGGATCATTTTGGCATTTTAGATCATAATCATTCAGATTATTATGGACGGACCGGATCCTAGATCAGCACTTCTGCTCTGAGACGCTTGATAAATATGGGTCCTGAACAGAAAGTTTTAATATCTAGTTTCCACAGACAGATTCTTACATTAATATTTATACAGTAGAACTAGAAGTCATCACACACTGATTACTTCTGGCTGCACAAAGCATTTCCCTGCGGGAACAATAAAGTTGAAATTGAATAGTCATGCAAATCCCAACATACAAGTAACCCAGTGTTTCCCAATCCTGGTCCTGGGAACCCAAAGAGGTACACATTTTTGTTTTTGCCCTAACATACTTGACTCAACAAATCAACTCATCATCAAGCCTTCTATTTTTTTTTATCAGGTGTGTTATTGCTAGGGATAAAATAAATGTGCACCCCTTTGGGTCTCCAGGACCAGGAAACACTGAATAACCCATCATGACAGCAGAGGATACTCACCTGCTTCCATGGTAGATGTGGGAGTTATATTCAGAGGCTGTTGTCATGGTAAGCTCTTTGCAGGTCACCGCTGGAAAAACATGAACAATGGTAGCCAAGCCTCAGCTTAAACATGTTTTACAAAACATGGTCTCACTATGACAAATTAAAAGCGTGTGTAGACCCAAGGAGTGTTTTGCTCGTACCGGCGTGTGTGTAGGGTAGCGTTTCCCAAACTCAGTCCTGGGGACCCCAAGGGGTGCACGGTTTGGTTTTGCAAAAACCAAAATGTGCACCCCTTGGGGTCCCCAGGACTGAGTTTGGGGAACCCTGGTGTAGGGTGTTGTGCTCATACCAGTGTGTGTGTAGGGGTTCATGGACTCGTCACAAGCCTGAGGCCCCGCTCCTCCTCTGTCTGGACCAGACTGGTCCCTGCTCACTGAAATCAAAAGACAACAGTCAACCATCTACGTCAATGAGTGAACTACCACTTACAGTTGAAGTCAGAAGTTTACATACACCTTAGCCACATACATTTAAACTCAGTTTTTCACAATTCCTGACATTTAAATCTGAGTAAAAATTCCCTGTCTTAGGTCAGTTAGGATCACCACTTTATTTTAAGAATGTGAAATGTCAGAATAATAGTATATACGGACTTTCAGCTCCCTCCAAAGATTTTCTATTGGGTTCATGTCTGGAGACTGGCTAGGCCACTCCAGGACCATGAGATGCTTCTTACGGAGCCAATCCTTATTTGCCCTGGCTGTGTGTTTCGGGTCGTTGTCATGCTGGAAGACCCAGCCACGACTCATCTTCAATGCTCTTATTGAGGGAAGGAGGTTGTTGGCCAAGATCTCGCGATACATCCTCCCCTCAATACGGTGTAGTCGTCCTGTCCCCTTTGCAGAAAAGCATCCCCAAAGAACGATGTTTCCACCTCCATGCTTCACGGTTGGGATGGTGTTCTTGGGGTTGTACTCATCCTTCTTCTTCCTCCAAACACGGCGAGTGGAGTTTAGACCAAAAAGCTCTATTTTTGTCTCATCAGACCACATGACCTTCTCCCATTCCTCCTCTGGATCATCCAGATAGTCATTGGCAAACTTCAGACGGGCCTGGACATGCGCTGGCTTGAGCAGGGGGACCTTGCGAGCGCTGCAGGATTTTAATCCATGACGGCGTAGTGTGTTACTAATGGTTTTCTTTGAGACTGTGGTCCCAGCTCTCTTCAGGACATTGACCAGGTCCTGTCGTGTAGTTCTGGGCTGATCCCTCACCTTCCTCATGATCATTGATGCCCCATGAGGTGAGATCTTGCATGGAGCCCCAGACCGAGGGTGATTGACCGTCATCTTGAACTTCTTCCATTTTCTAATAATTGCGCCAACAGTTGTTGCCTTCTCACCAAGCTGCTTGCCTATTGTCCTGTAGCCCATCCCAGCCTTGTGCAGGTCTACAATTCTATCCCTGATGTCCTTACACAACTCTCTGGTCTTGGCCATTGTGGAGAGGTTGGAGTCTGTTTGATTGAGTGTGTGGACAGCTGTCTTTTATACAGGTAACGGGTTCAAACAGGTGCAGTTAATACAGGTAATGAGTGGAGCACAGGAGGGCTTCTTAAAGAAAAACTAACAAGTCTGTGAGAGCCGGAATTCTTACTGGTTGGTAGGCGATCAAATACTTATGTCATGCAATAAAATGCAAATTAATAACTTTAAAAAATGTGATTTTCTGGATTTTTGTTTTAGATTCCGTCTCTCACAGTTGAAGTGTACCTATGATAAAAATTACAGACCTCTACAAGCTTTGTAAGTAGGAAAACCTGCAAAAATCAGCAGTGTATCAAATACTTGTTCTCCCCACTAAGTATTTGACCCCTCTGCAAAACATGACTTAGTACTTGGTGGCAAAACCCATGCTGGCAATCACAGAGTTCAGACGTTTCTTGTAGTTGGCCACCAGGTTTGCACACATCTCAGGAGGGATTTTGTCCCACTCCTCTTTGCAGAGCTTCTCCAAGTCATGAAGGTTTCGAGGCTGACGTTTGGCAACTCGAACCTTCAGCTCCCTCCACAGATTTTCTATGGGATTAAGGTCTGGAGACTGGCTAGGCCACTCCAGGACCTTAATGTGCTTCTTCTTGAGCCACTCCTTTGTTGCCTTGGCCGTGTGTTTTGGGTCATTGTCATGCTGGAATCCCCATCCACGACCCATTTTCAATGCCCTGGCTGAGGGAAGGAGGTTCTCACCCAAGATTTGACGGTACATGGCCCCGTCCATCGTCCCTTTGATGCAGTGAAGTTGTCCTGTCCCCTTAGCAGAAAAACACCCCCAAAGCATAATGTTTCACCTCCATGTTTGACGGTGGGGATGGTGTTCTTGGGGTCATAGGCAGCATTCCTCCTCCTCCAAACACGGCGAGTTGAGTTGATGCCAAAGAGCTCGATTTTGGTCTCATCTGACCACAACACTTTCACCCAGTTCTCCTCTGAATCATTCAGATGTTCATTGGCAAACTTCAGACGGCCCTGTATATGTGCTTTCTTGAGCAGGGGGACCTTGTGAGCGCTGCAGGATTTCAGTCCTTCACGGCGTAGTGTGTTACCAATTATTTTCTTGGTGACTATGGTCCCAGCTGCCTTGAGATCATTGACAAGATCCTCCCATGTAGTTCTGGGCTGATTCCTCACCGTTCTCATGATCATTGCAACTCCACGAGGTGAGATCTTGCATGGAGCCCCAGGCCGAGGGAGATTGACAGTTCTTTTGTGTTTCTTCCATTTGTATATGGATAATAATAATAATCGGACCAACTGTTGTCACCTTCTCACCAAGCTGCTTGGCGATGGTCTTGTAGCCCATTCCAGCCTTGTGTAGGTCTACAATCTTGTCCCTGACATCCTTGGAGAGCTCTTTGGTCTTGGACATGGTGGAGAGTTTGGAATCTGATTGATTGATTGCTTCTGTGGACAGGTGTCTTTTATACAGGTAACAAACTGAGATTAGGAGCACACTCTTAAAGGGAGTGCTCCTAATCTCAGCTTGTTACCTGTATAAAAGACACCTGGGAGCCAGAAATCTTTCTGATTGAGAGGTCGTCAAATACTTATTTCCCTCATTAAAATTCAAATCAATTTATAACATTTTTGACATGCGTTTTTCTGGATTTTTTTGTTGTTATTCTGTCTCTCACTGTTCAAATAAACCTACCATTAAAATTATAGACTGATCATTTCTTTGTCAGTGGGCAAACGCACAAAATCAGCAGGGGATCAAATACTTTTTTCCCTCACTGTAGATACTTTTGTACCTGTTTCCTCCAGCATCTTCACAAGGTCCTTTGCTGTTGTTCTGGGATTGATTTGCACTTTTCGCACCAAAGTACGTTCATCTCTAGGAGACAGAACGCGTCTCCTTCCTGAGCGGTATGACGGCTGCGTGGTCCCATGGTGTTTATACTTGCGTACTATTGTTTGTACAGATGAACGTGGTGCCTTCAGGCGTTTGGAAATTGCTCCCAAGGATGAACCAGACTTGTGGAGGTCTACAATTTCTTGGCTGATTTCTTTTGATTTTCTCATGATGTCAAGCAAAGAGGCACTGAGTTTGAAGGTAGGCCTTGAAATACATCCACAGGTACACCTCCAACTGACTCAAATTATGTCAATTAGCCTATCAGAAGCTTCTAAAGCCATGACATCATTTTCTGGAATTTTCCAAGCTGTTTAAAGGCACAGTCAACTTAGTGTATGTAAATTTCTAACCCACTGGACTTGTGATACAGTGAATTATAAGTGAAATAATCTGTCTGTAAACAATTGTTGGAAAAATTACTTGTGTCATGCACAAAGTAGATGTCCAAACCGACTTAACAAAACTACAGTTTTTTAACAAGAAATCAGTGGAGTGGTTGAAAAACAAGTTTTAATGTCTCCAACCTAAGTGTATGTAAACATCCGACAACTGTATGTTCACTAACTCCATCTACAAGTTTCATCTATTCGTTATATCCCCACCCACTCAATAGATCAGGGCATAAAATGAACACCCACCAAATGTGGGTAGATGTAGGTATTGGCGGGTAAGAATGTCTATTTCACCAGCTACTTTGGCAGGTGGTCAATTTGCAGGGCTCTACTGTGCAAGCAGTACATTCGCAAATGTGAAAATATTCAAAAGTCATGTATGTGCACGTGCGAGTTAGGGTTAGAAAAATGCTGCAGTAGCTGTTTTCAAAGTATTTCTGCTGTTTTGTTTCATAGCTGCTAATCACACAAAGAAATACAAATCCTATATCCCACCTCGCGCAGCAACCCTGCCTGGCAGTGAAGTGCAGTGCAGTGCTGATAGATTAATTTTTGGAGGCACTGGCATACAATTCTGTCTAATTTACTTGAAAATCTACAAAGTGAGACTTTGTCCTCGTGTTTCTTGGCTATTCACACTGTTTTGCTCACAAGGTTGGTTGTTTTTCAACGTTAGTTTGAGTCTGCTGCTTCAACTGATAGCGAAGAGACGCCCTAGTCAGATCCCAAATCACACACACAAACAACAGGAATCTTAAAGGGGCAGCTGAACATTTTGTTTCTGATATGTTAGTTAAAAGAGTCAACAAAAATGAAATGAAATTTAGCAATATACCACATTACTTCTTTCTAATACATTTATTGTCTTAGAAACATCACAATGCATGGTCATCCGTTTTGTGAGTGGCTGGTAGACTTCGTAATCTCCCTGCCACAGTGGGTGGTGGATTTCGTAATCTACCTGCCACAGTGGGTGGTGGATCAAAAAGTAAATTTTAGGCCCTGCAATAGATGGATGAGCATTTTTTTCAGAGCCATTTCTTTCTCAGGCTTTCTTTTCTTCCACTCACCTCCATCAAGCTGGGCATTAGACAAGGAGGAGAAGGAGTCATCCTGATCTCCTGAGCCCAAGAGAGTAGGGGGGCTCTGGTCATCACCACCCAATCCCCTAAAAAACAAATCAACATCCATTTACCAAATATCACAGGCCTATTTACTACCCACAGACAGCACTACCTGTGGTAATGAGAGTCAAGTAAAACTGGACCATCAAACTATTCAGTAATACATTTATCAGTCTAGCCAACCATATAATAATCTTTGAAAGGCCATGAATAAGAACATAAACACAGTAAAAACACAAACACAACACACCGCTGTACGAACCACAACAGGAAACAATCACAAAATGATCTTCTAGTTTGTGAGAATGCTGAAAAAGCTGACAGACCCTCTCAAATGTCTGCTCTTTCAGTCACCTGTTATCAGAACATAGATCTCATTCATTCCAGAATATTCCAGGAATAGTATAAAAGTAATCCTTCTTCCCCCACCCCCCCCCCCAAAAAAAAGAAGTGGTTTTCCCACTGGCTAGCTTAAGCTGAATGCACCAATTTGTAAGTCGCTCTGGATAAGAGCGTCTGCTAAATGATGTAAATGTAATTCGGAGTGGCTTTCCAGAGGAGACGAAATGGGCTATGTTAAAAAGCATCGACTGTTAGAAATAAACAATTAAAAACTGACTGTGGCTCTTTGTCCAGTCCAACGTTGAGCTCATGCCTTGCCTTCTTGATCTGTGAAAGTAACACACACACACGAATGACATGTTAACTCTTCTTTCAGTCTCAAAACACTTAGAAACAAATTATGACAGGTAGTGCCAACTTTAGTGCCTGGCAAGGTATGAGGTTAAAGGAAAAATCCACCCAAAACCACTCATTCCTTCAATTTACAGTGTTAAATAACAATATATTTTTTAAAACAAATGTTTCATTTTTGCGTTATAATAAGGTTGGTAGCAACATGGAAAATCATTGCGGAAATCTGTTGTAGCTCAAGTCGACTACAAAATCCACAATGCAATGCTCTCTCTATGGGCTGGCTGGCTAGTAGCTAGCAAGCAAACATAGCTACACACAATAATACCAAAGACAATATCAGCATGTAATGTAGCTAGTTAGTGCAGTTTTAGGCGATTTTACAGCTATCAATTTAGGAGTCTACAATCTCACCATGTTCAACCTGCAGATCGAAGTGCCTCACAGAGTGGAGTCTAACATTTGCAACGGCAGATATACTTTTGAGGACATGGGAAACATTGCCCATGCTACGTCAATGGGCCGTGCCGTGCATTCTGGGACAAGAAGCGCTCTCCTTCAAGGAGTGAATCAGAGTCTATTGGGTGCTAGCCCCAAAACCCAACATGTGCACAAATTTTGTCAACAAGAAGTACAACATTACAAATATTTCCCCAAACAATTAACGTGCTATCTGTAGTATCGTTTAGCTTTAGAATTGTGACATTACATATTTGAGGAAAATAGGCACGTTTCTCGACATATACACTGACTTTGAGAAGGGATTGCGTGACGATTAGCTTAGCAACCGCGTGACGCAGCATGACAACGTGAACGCAATTGGTCGACAGTGTGCTGGGTGGGTCCTTATACGTTCCTTCATTCATTGGATTCCTATCTCCTTTCTATAATATCTCTGGCAACGGCACCATGCAATGCACCCTGGATTAAAGAGGCAGACAAATAGGAGAAATGTGCTAGACCATCCGTTAAATTACACATTTCTTGAGGTAGGAATATTGTAAAAATCTGATCAATGGCTCATTCGAGAGAAGATATCCTCCCGAGTTATGACATAGGCCAGTATTGAAATCTAACATGTATGATAGACGTTTTCGCAATCTAACAGTTGTATTCCTATTATCTTCCAGTGTAGTGACAGCGACTTTATCACAGTGCTGTGTCATACCGGCAGGATTTCTGCCTGCTTGAACGTCAATAACTCAGATACCCATGAAAACATGAAATGACACAGGGAACATGAAATGACACAGGGAATCAATTGAAAATCCTGCAGAGATGCACAAAAACAATATTCCTTTAAGGTGAATGTCTGGAGTCCAAACTCACCGGCAGTTCAGGCAGGTCCTGCAAGTCATCCATGTCTGCTGAGCCACGTCCTCCTGACATATCTTCACTCTCTTCGTCTTGGGAGGCTGTCTGGACCCTGCTTCACACAAACACATACAGACAAACACGGTGTGCACAGGGTGAGTGGACAGGACCACTGCTTTAAGTAGTCTCCCTTTGACCAGCCATAATCCCCTCCACCCTGACGCATCTCCGGTGCCCTCCGCCCCCTCTACTATCGTAGGAGTTGATCAACAATGAGGCGTGATGTCGCCTACTTGGGAAGAAGTGGTGCACGGTTGGCCTAATCTACCGCACGGGAGCGGCAGGCGAGGCACGTGCAGCACTGACGTCGCACCGTGGCCCCACCACTCCGGTGTTTACAGTTGGATTAAGGGGAGCTTGCCTCCTTACATGTGACCTAGCCTACTTTTGAGGAAATGTATTCTCTGCGGATTATATGAGAGGCATTAGGTGTTCAGGTGCAAGCTGTCGTATCAATGGGTGGTCCGCTGGATAAGATCTAACCTCATTTTCAGCCACCGGCCGCCCCCTTTAGCCTTCTCTCTGTGGGCCTTGGCCATAGAGCCTTTGATATAACTGGCATTTGCGGAAAGAAAAGGGAGAAAATAGGTCACGTGGGAAATTCAAAAACACTAATTTATCAGACACTTGTTAACGAAACCGTGCACATGAACAGAATGCCAGCCACCTGATTTATAGGCATAATTGAGGCAGGTGTCCCAAAAAACACTTATGCAACCCTTTCCAGTAAATGGACCACTACATTTTTTTTAGGAAACGTTTTTGTACACCATGGAGCTTACGTCTGATCATGCACCTCTCTCTGTAAAGCGAACTTTTGTCAAAGTTTCATATATTCTACAATTGGTTTCTCTTTTAAATTGTCAGCAGGCCCATCCTTTTTCAGTGTTGATATCCGTAACATCCATAACTGTTGATATTGATGGATCATATCTTAGCTTCAGAAGCTTGTTCATTCACCACATTGTGTGCGCTTGTTCTGAGATGTATTCTTCAGACTTTTACTGAAGCAATTGTTGATATATTGAAAATGTGTTTTAGCTAAGATTCTCTTAGAAAATACACACTGAAATGCATTTTTTTTGTTGATAGAAAGATAAGTGTTTATCAAAAATCTTTAAATAGTCCTACAGTGTCTTTTTCAAATTAAAGTGCCCCAAAACATACTGACTTCATCCAGTGTCCAGAAAAGTGAATTGATGGTATTGGCACATGTAAATTATATATGTATAATTTTCTAATTTTGTATGCAAACAATATCAGAAAAATGGTAATACAAAAAAAATCTAAATATTTGCGTTGATAGATTGTAAATTTGTTTTATATCTTTACTGTTTTATAGCATTCTTAGTATGAATAGATTGTTTTTATATATCCTTAGAGATTGAAATGAATGTTAAGTTCAAGCTCTTTGTGTATGAGAAGTAATTACTTAGTGGCCTGCAGTGGACTGTAGTAATGTGTACTCCCAATAACTCAAGGCCTCTCCTGACTGATTAGAAGTTCTGTGAACTGCATGGAGAAATCCTGGGTGATGGAAGAGTACTGAACTACATCTTTGTGGAAGGGAAGGGGCGAGAGCTAAGGGTGTAAGTGGTCACGGCACTGTATTGAATGTATGTTTTTACAGTCTTTTATGTCCAACAATTAAAATAAAAAAAATACATGTTTGTTTTATGCTCAGAAAAGTTTGGGGGCGAAATAAACCACACGCGGGCCAAATTCGGCCCACCAGTTGGGAAACCCTGGTGTTTACCTTCAACTGGTTAAGGTTAATTTGGATGTATCAAAAGAGAAGAAAATACCCTATTAAGGTGTGGTGCCTTGCCTTGTATACTATTCAGGCTACCTGTAATTTTCCAATCCTAAAGTAGTGATACTATGCCTTCTGCTGACATTTTAAAAACATTTCAAATGACAAATGTGTTATGATAGATTAAAATCTTAAAGATTTCTTGATCAAAATCTATTTTTGTAACATCCATAAAGAAGTGTGTAACATTAATAACGGTTGTTTTTCCCGCTCTAAATTATCAATTGAAATGACAATCTTTTAAAAATTATTGTTTTTGTGTTCAGCCAAGCCTTTCGTTTCAAAATGGCTATCCATGTTTTGACCTTAGACTTAAAAATTAGGGCTGTGAAGATACCAGTATTGCAATATTCTTTATATGGCAAAAATGAAAACACAAAGCAGATCAAACTCTTTGGTCGTTTAAAAATCTGCTGTACGTAAACTATTGTGTGCTATAGCTTGGAAAATAAATAAACACTGGATGACAACATAATGATGTTTGTTTTCAACATTAGGGCTGTTTTCCTAAAGAAGTTAATCCGATTCATGTTTTGTTTCCTTGCCACGATACTAACGGATATCGCGATATTGGTATTGCCCCGGCCCTATTAAAAAACTCACAGACCTTTGGTAAAATGTTCAGCAGTCTCCCCAAAAAGCTTGTCTATTTGATCATCCTTGAGATGTTTCTACAACTTGATTGGAGTCCACCTGTCGTAAATTCAATTGATTGGACATGATTTGGAAAAGCACACACCTGTCTATATAAGGTCCCACAGTTGACAGTGAATGTCAGAGCAAAAACCAAGCCATGAGTTCAAAGGAATTGTCTGTAGAGCTCCGAGACAGGATTGTGTCGAGGCACAGATCTGGGGGAGGGTACCAAAACATTTCTGCAGCATTGAACGTCCCCAAGAACACAGTGGCCTCAATCATTCTTAAATGGATGAAGTTTGGAACCACCAAGACTCTTCCTAGAGCTGGCCACCCAGCCAAATTGAGCAATCGGGGGAGAAGGGCCTTGGTCAGGGAGGTGACCAATACCCCGATGGTCACTCTGGCCAAGCTCCAGAGTTCCTCTGTGGAGATGGGTGAACCTTCCAGAAGGACAACCATCTCTGCAGCACTCCACCAAATCAGGCCTTTATGGTAGAGTGGCCAGACGGAAGCCACTCCTCAGTAAAAAAGGCACATGACAGCCTGCTTGGAGTTTGCCAAAAGGCACCTAAAGGACTCTCAGACCATGAGAAACAAGATTCTCAGAACTGATGAAACCAAGATTGAACTATTTGGCCTGAATGCCAAGCGTCACGTCTGGAGGAAGCCTGGCACCATCCCTACGATGAAGCATGGTGGTGGCAGCATCATGCTGTTGGGATGTTTTTCAGCGGCAGGGACTGGGAGACTAGTCAGGATTGAGGGAAAGATGAACGGAGCAAAGTACAGAGAGATCCTTGCTGAAAACCTGCTCCAGAGCGCTCAGGACGTCAGACTGGGGCGACGGTTCACCTTTCAACAGGACAACGACCCTAAGCACACAGCCAAGAAAACGCAGGAGTGGCTTCGGGACAAGCCTATGAATGTCCTTGAGTGGACCAGCCAGAGCCCGGACCTGAACATCTTTGGAGAGACCTGAAAATAGCTGTGCAGGGACACTCCCCAGCCAACCTGACAGAGCTTGAGAGGATCTGCAGAGAAGAATGGGAGAAACTCCACAAATACAGGTGTGCCAAGCTTGTAGCATCATACCTAAGACTAGAGGCTGTAATTGCTGCCAAAGGTGCTTCAACAAAGTTCTGAGTAAATGGTCTGAATACTTATGTAAAATGTAATATTTCCGGGTTTTTTTTTTATATAAATTTGCAAACATTTCTAAAAACGTGTTTTTGCTTTGTCATTATGGGGTATTGTGTGTAGATTGATGAGGGGAAAAAACAACTTCATCCATTTTAGAAGGCTGTAACGTAACAAAATGTAGAAAAAGTCAAGGGGTCTGAATACTTTCCGAATGCACTGTAAACTCCCCACAAGGGGTACTATAAACACACATTAAAAGTTTCATTTTATATTTTGTGCATTCTGAGACAGTAGAGTTGTGATATTGCATCCAAATGTAACGTCCATAATGCTGGAATCGCCCAGTAGCACTAGGACGACCAAAAGGCAAAGATGAAGAATAAATTAAAAGTGCAAAATACTCCCGTCATTCACAGTGCAGCGTAAAAACACACATACATTTTTTTATATTAATTTAATCAGATGGTTTAAAGATTTGCAAACAGCCCTGGAATTTTCTATTGAATTTAGGCCTATTGTGAATCTGGCCTCTATAGGCTAATACAATGTTAAGATCTGGCTTGTGAGACTATTGTGAACCCAATGCAATCTCGGTTGTCCTGACAACCATACACAAGCTCGAACTACTCTCTGCACCTGCTGTCGACATAGGTAACCTGTAACCTGCTGTACCTGTGCTGTACACAGTGATCAGCTGATGTTACCAGTTTTCAGAACCGTCACTAAACTTCTAGCTTTCTCAATCACAGCACACACAGGCACTGTAGTACGCTTTATGCAAAACAATGAAGCAAGCCTACAAGCTAAGAGAACTGCTTTTTCTGTCATCTGCTCCACAGACACTGAAGTATGAATCCTTTTTTAAATAGGCTATAGTCTACTTCAGGGATCATTAACTAGATTCAGTCGTGGGCCGATGTGTTGTTGAGCGTATGGTCGGGGGGCCGGAACATAATTACAAATAATTTGTAGACTGCAAATTGACCGCAAGAAGCCAAACAGCTAATGTTTGACTAAAAGATAATAATTTCAAGCCTGGCTTACATTTGTATACCATCACTTGTCTCTATTATGCATGGGAATATTTGGGAACAGATTTCTTAAATCAAAATTTTAAAAAAATCCTGCTGTTTGTACAGTCTTATGTCCAACAGAAATGTTAGTTTATAATTAGTTTCATTTTTTTTAAGGAAACTTGGCGGGCCAAATGAAATTTAGCCCGCGGGCCGCTAGTTGGGGAACCCTGGTCTACTTTATTAAATATTTGACTGATTTCTGTCATTTATCATATTTGATCACCAAAGAATGAGCAAATATTGTCCTGTAGGCCTAGGCTACTGCATGATTGCTTGACTACAAAAATGGGGATGTCTCTGTGCTGCCTATGAGTATTGTCTTGAGAAGCAAACGTTGTGTGTATGATGATCTTACTGTTATTACTGCCTCCTCTAATGAGACATT